AATGCCTTGGTTGTGTTTAATTCCCATGAAATGTCATGTTGAGTTGATTTACTAGATAATACCATATTCATGCCATTGTTGTAATTTTAATGAAATTGAATTCAAATTGATGATGATTGATGCATACATATGACATGGCGGGAAAGGGGAATGAGGAAAGGGTTTTGAAATTGATTTTATATAATAAACTGAATTTCGTGAGACCGGTGCTAATTCAACCTAGAGGGAGCACGTGCCGGTTTAGGACATGAAAACTTGATTATTAGGCCTCAAATGGTTGCCGGATTTGGAACCAGGGATAGTAATTCAATCTCACCTCGATAAAGTCAGTTAGCGGTTTTCAATGTGAGTTAGGGTCAATAAAGACCATGTTTGGAAAATGGTTGTCCATTGCATTACATTCTATGCAATATTTTGATGGATTGCTTAAGTGTTATTGATGAGAATGATTTGTGATTTGAAACTATATAATTCCCCTAAAGTATGATCCCGGATTCTCTTTATCCCCAATGTGTGATATGTGGCTCAAGGGAATCCAGAGTTGGCTTCTTAGGCATCTTCTATTGAGCCTTCGTGCTCACCCCTTTCATTAACATTTTCTCGGGTTATGACGGAGTCGTGGTTGGTGATGGACCCTCAAAAGCATAGTTAGGGTTGACAGGAGTATTTTTCGATATTCTTGAAATCAAGGTATAATCTATGTAATTCTTTGTAAAGTGTTGTAATTGCGACTGTAAGAGTTTATGTAACTTGTATTCTTTTGCATCATTTTAAAGTAACTTAGAGCATGTAAATGAATTCGACTAAATGTTTATGATTCAAAATCATAAATTGATGTATTAATTTCATTTCCGCATTTTATTCATGCTTGTGAGTTGGGACAAGGACATTAAGGTAAAAAATGACCAAAAAGGGGTGTTCGGGAACAGTAACAAGGCAAAAGGGGCAGAATGCCCATTTTCAAGGCAGCCCCAAGCACTCAGGACATGGGGGACCGAGCGCTCAGGGTAAAGGCATTGGGATTCCAGTGCTGGAATCCCAATACTGAGCACTTAGAGGGGGAGTTGTGTGTGCGCAAGGAAGCTCAAGGGTGTCCTCGAGCGCTCGGAGGACACTATCCGAGCACTCGGTATTGGATTTTAGGTACTATTTTTTTAAAAGGTTTTTCGATGGTTCCGAGTTTCATTGTATGGGTCTTACATGGCCTCTAGGATGTATAGAACACTATGGTTGTGCCGGAATGCAAGTAGAGTGGTTTAAACTGCCAGTTTTACCTTTTTAAAATGAGCGACCTTAAACCGAGTTGATTTCTTTCATTTACAAATGAGTTCAAACAACTAGATATGGCTTAAATAACTTCAGTTTGACCCCCCAATGCATCAAATGGCCCATAATGAGCATTTTACCCCTAGAAACTCTAAGTGAACCAATTTGAAAACGGAGTCGATTCATCTATATCCACACTTGAACCGAGATGATTAGAAATGACCATTACGACTTCATATTGACCTTCAATGTATTGTATGGTCATAATGGCCATTTTACCCTTGGGGTGTTTCCGGGTCAGGTTAAGACCCAGTTACCGATTTGAACCCCGGGGTTTGGGTCGTTGCATAGCATTACTACCAATTTTAGCTTCTCTATCATGGATGGGTTAGGTTTGTTTGTCAGAGAGACATGATGGAGAAGTGGTGAGATACAAGTGTGAGGGTGATAAAATGGTGATGGGTTATATAGTAAGAGAAGATCATAAGGGACAAAATTGCAAAATAATTAACAATAGAGAATATGGGGAAGATATTGAAGAAGGATGGGAGGGGTTGGAAGGTGGTCTAAGGAAGTTCTCATGGTGGTGGTGGAAGGAGTGGAGAGAGAGATAGGGGAGGGGGAACTAGGAGTCATAATTTTCTTTTTACACTCTTCTAATAATTATCACTATAATAAATTAAAAGTGACTTTTTACTACACAAAAATTTTGTGGCAAATTGTACTAATTTTGTGGTTTTAAATATTTTACTACAAAGTATCATTGTTGCTAGCATGGTCACTAAAAAGGGCGTCTCAAATGCTACAAAGTGACTATTTTTTTCGTGATTATCATAAATTTGAAACGAATATTAATTTTACGTTGAAAATAACATTATTTGCAATGATTATGAAATTTAATTGGGCGTATACTTCATATGAAATATACAATGGGAGCATGTGAAATTTGATTAGGCCTTCTTCAAGTGGTGTATACCTAAATCTAATTAGGCCTTCTTCGAGTGTTGTGCCTAAATTGCTTACGGCTTGGGCACCTTAATGTCATGAAATCACCTAGCTATAAAATCAATTAACTTATTTCAGATGAATTTAAGTTAATGAAAATTGAGTAATTCTTTTTTTTTTTTTTAGGGATACAATCTTCTTATAGTTAACTTGTCGTGCATATATATGATTAGACTAAGGTACTACTTGATAAAGTTGAAAATTAAGCACCAAAAATTACAAGTACTAAATATTAAGCGTTGGATGTATCAATTTGAAGACTTGTTTGGTACGATAGTAATTTTAAGCGCTCATTAAAATTGTTATGCAAAAACTGAAATATGAATATTGTATATATTACATTTTTGCTTTGAATATCTTCTACACATAACATTTTTAAAAAATATATATACTCCATACTATACTAAGATATAAAACACATATATAAAATAATAAATTTCACCAAAGAAATATATCAATTTAACAATGGATATTAATATCAAAACTGATAATAAAAATTCCAAAATCAAATTACAAAATGAAAATGAAATATTTATGAAAATGATATTAGAATTCACACATAAATCATTCTATTTTTATTTATGTAGTAGTTTTGTATCATAACAATGATGAGAGGGATTGCATTGCATGACTAATGATTATAAACTTGAGTGAACCATGCATTATATATATATATATATATATATATATATATATATATATATATATATATATTAATATGTTGTTGAATATTATTTTTATTCACATTATTTGAGAAAAAAGTGTAACTTTTGAAAAATTGGAGTAAACTAAAAACAAAAATTCATTGGGAATCAAGGAGGGAACAGAAATGGTTAAGGGCAAATAGAAACCCAATCAATAGGTTTAATTCGGAATGTAAAAAAATATGATTGGCGTTTTTTAAGAGAGAGAATAGACAAAAGGTTAGAGAACCTAAAATATGATGTTTGAGGGTAAAATTGACATTAATAAAAAAATTTAAAATATAAAATCACTTAGCGTGTTTTGCAATAACCGTTAAGCAATGTTTGTGTGGTTTAAAATTTATGGACTTGCTTTAAGTGTTCCGTAATATTTTAAGTAGTAATCTAAATGATTATCAAACACGCTAATTTTTAAAAATCGCTTATCGTGTTATATATTAAACGTATCAAACACACGGTAATTTTTAAAATCACTTATTATGCTATGTGTTAAACATATCAAACAGACCCTAAGTTAGAATGGGTTAACTAACTCATCCCATTTGAATATAAATTTACTATTTTATTATTTAAAAATTAAAATATATATAAAATTATAAAAATAAAAATAAAAATAAAATCCAACAATTTTATTTAGATTCAATAGTGAAACTTTAAAATTATAAAACACACGTCTCATATTAATATTATTCCACACCAATTCTATACGAGAAATATCTAGGGCGAAGTAGTATTATATACCTATTGTATATGCATACATGTATACACATCTATTTAACACGCAGCTAACACGCCAACTGATCCAACTGACCCACTGCATGTCCGTTCAAAACAAATACGGAAATGCGTGCTAGTACACGACGATGAAAAATAAATTTAAATTAATTGCTACTCAGTTTCAGTGTGATTGGTGCTTAGGGATGCGCGTGTCACAGATTTGTATTCTTCCTTCTGCAAAAACTGTTGTCCTGCAAAAACTGTTCTATCACGCACCACTGTCATCCTCATCGCTCCCTGCACACATACAAACGTATATATATATGTATATATGTATTATGGTTATTTTTGTTTTTGTTTTATCGGAATAATCTTCTAATTAAGCAAATCTGACTATTCTGACCATTTTTTATTTTTTTTCATACAATTAAATTGATTAACTTAGTGAGGTAAGTTTCTCTATTCTTACTAAATGGATCATTAATATCTATCTTGAAAATGTCCTAAATGTTAAATTTACTTATCAGCTTTCATTATTGTTTCTTCGCTTAAGTCTACTTTCTCTCATTTTATTTATTTATAGGAGTTATAACTATTATTTTTATTCACATGTTGATTAATAATACTAAAGTTCAATTCTAAAATCTTCTAATTCTCTTACTTACACGTTCATTCTTAATCTTAAATTTTCTAATTTAATCTTAAATCTTCTATTTCTAACCGAACGTTTATTATTAATCTTAAATCTTCTAGGTACTCGTAAGATTCCTAAATGTTATAGTTACAGCTAACATCCAATGTGACCTTGGCATAATTACTATTGTATACCCTTCATTCCACTCTCTCAAATTGACAACCAACAATAAGAGAATTGAAATAAGTGATAAATAGAAGACGTTATTTAAAATAAAAAAATAAAATAAAAATAGTAGATATTTAGTTTTCTAGAATATTATAATTATGAATTATGAGCTAGAGAGACAACTGTTCCTTCAGTTATTTTTTTATTTATTTTATAAAGATATGAAATTTAATTGAGAGATACTTGCATTTGCATTGAGTTAATTTGTCTATAAATTTTAGAAAAAAGATAAAAGAGTAGAGTGACAACATAAATGATTCGGGTTAGAAAAAGGGCATGTATATATTACTTTTACAGAGAGAAGGGCTTTGTTTTTACCATGTAGTAAATACAAAGGTAGAGGGTGAATGAGTAATGGTGTGGTTTACAGGCTATAGCCGGTTACTGACTAGCAACAAGAGGGAGTGTTATTATGGGTAAGAGAGAGAGGAGACAGGTTTCAGAAACGGGAAAGTATATGTAAGCCCTTGGAGGAGTACAGCTCCTTTTGCAGAGAGAGGAATTGATGGCCACACTCTCTCACTCCTCTTATCTTCTCTTCTAAAACATCTTATTATAACACCCCCAAATCAAATTACACCATAACCGGCTAACTCTCATCGCCGGTGACAATCTATATATCTAACCGTTAGTTCTATCTATATATCTATATATTGATTACATATAATTAGTTGTTTTGTATTAGTGAAAGAAGTGCTAATGGACTTTGAGGATCAAGAGGAGGAGGAGGAGCAAGAAGAAGAGATTGAGCTGCCACCGAGTTACGACTCGCTCGGTAACTCGTCCCGACCCAATATGCCAAGCCCAGATGGAGCTAACGCGCCACTCTATGCGGCTGCGCCGAGGAAGCCCAGATACAGGGAGTGCCTGAAGAATCACGCCGTCGGACTCGGTGGCCACGCAGTGGACGGCTGCGGAGAGTTCATGCCGGCCGGCGCGGAAGGCACCCTGGACGCTCTGAAATGCGCCGCCTGCAACTGCCACCGCAACTTCCACCGCAAGGAGACCGACACCGCCGCCGTCGGCGGAGGCGGCGGAGGCATCCACCTCCTCACTTACCACCACCCTCAGCAGCAGTTCCCTCCCTACTTCCGAACCCCATCTGGGTACCTCCACGTGGCGCCACAGCAGAGGCCGCTAGCTCTGCCGTCGATCTCCGGCGGCGGTGGTAGCCGTGAGGACCAAGAGGACATGTCGAACATGAGCTCAAAGAAGAGATTCCGCACAAAATTCACTCCAGAACAGAAGGATAAGATGTTGGGTTTCGCTGAGAGTTTGGGTTGGAAGATTCAGAAGACCGACGAGTCGGTGGTCCAGCAGTTCTGCAACGACACCGGTGTCAAACGCCATGTGCTCAAGGTTTGGATGCATAACAACAAACACACCCTCGGTAAGAAACCCTAGACAAAAAATATACACACATGCATACATATATATATATATATATATATATGTGTGTGTGTGTGTGTGTGTATTATGTATGTTGTATGTAATGAATTAGGGGGATTGTGAAGTGTTGGAAGGATGGTAATGGTACGCTGAGACTAGTAGTTTCTCGGAGATTTAGTTTTAGTGTAGTATTAGTTTCTTTTGTTCGATCTTTTGCGCGCTTTGTGTTGATTTATATATCAATACATTGTTGGCTTTGATGGGTCTATCTTTATATATTCAACTTTTGAGTGTTAGATCGATGTTTTGGTGGTAATTTGAAATATATTAGTGTAACTAGTACTGTGTGAGTGGATTTGAAGGCTTTTGAGTGTTATATATTGGTTGTTTTGATAAAGTTGAAATAGTAGTACTTCATGTGATCATATTTGTCCTCAAATACTATGTTGTTGGGCTTTTATAGTTTGTGTCACAATCTAAAACAATCCACGTAAATGATCTGCTGCTCAACAATGTGTTTACTTTCTCTCTCTACAATTCTTCTGGAGTCCAAGAAGGCAAGAGAGAGGGGGAGGAATTGAATGAGCACACTTTCTCATCACAGATGTCTTGTCCTCTAATCAATGTAGATGCTGTCTCTCTACTCACTCTCTCTTTTCTTTCTTCTTTCTTCTTCTTCCTCATTTTTGAAGAAGCTATAGGAGGTACAAGAGCTTTAAATGTTATAAAACTAAAACAAAAGGTTTATTTGGTAGGCACTGCTATCTCTTCACTTGTTCTGTCGCAGCTCTTGCACTCTCTCGTGGGGTGCATTTATTTTTGCAGTTAGTTAACACACGTATTCAGTCCTACAATTTTTAAGGACCATTTATTTTCTCCTATAAATGAAAATTAATGATTTCTTGCAGTACTTGGTGAACACAATTTTTAAAACCATTGAAAATTAAAGATTTTAATTTAATTATAGACTGGACCAATATTGGCTGTTATTTTGCCAAGTTTACTAGCAAGATGTATATAGACTCGTTTGAAATAATTAAAGTAATGAAATTAATATACTAATTCTGTATGTGTGAGTGTATATCTATATATGTGTGTAGTTGATGTTCCAAATTACTAAAACAAGATATATGCAGTGTTGTTGATATATATATATATATATATATATATATATAATTTGCTTGTTTAGGAGTCCAAACTCAGCTGCAAAACATGCCGTTCAGGATATTTACTTGTCTTGGAGAGATTGAGTTTCAGTTAAAGCTGCACATTATAATTGTGGTCCGTATAAGGGTATTGTGGTCAAAGGAAAGAATATGTATCATCCAGTTTTGCTAACCCTATCCTTCAACATTGGAATCACTGCAAATAGTACTAAATATGATTAACAATATATCTTGATAATTCAAACTTTTTGCAATTACGGATTTTCAGTTGAACAGGCATTAGAAGACAGTGAAGCAGTAACCGCATCCGAACTTTACCAGATTATGTGGGCAGGCATTTGAACAGGCACGGATCTAAGAATGGCTCAATGAATTTTCTTTCATGACTATTATGTGTTGCTATTTTTCTCATTTTGATAGATATATATACGTACATATAAAAAATTACTATTGGCCACATTGAAATTCTTAAACATTTTCACAATTGCCCCTGTTATATTTTTTTCTAGATCCGTCCCTGACTTATACAAGACTTGTGGATTAATCGAGGCAAGACCTTAAACACCCTGATTATCAAAAAAAAAAAAAAGTGAAGTAGCCCAATTTATATATATATATGTATATATATATATATATTTGTAATATCTAGAGCTATAATAAGCAAATTGAGCTAAGTTCCCAGTTACTTCAGGCGATAGCTATTTCTAGAATCTTGATGTTGTACATTTTCCAGAATAATGTCAAATTAACGAGATTAGTTCAGGTGGTAGGATGACTCACAACTAAAGAAAATTAACTGAATAAACAATTTTGGATCAACAAAGTTTAAAAAATAAAGAAACTAATTGATATAGATGAATAACAATATACTATGTTGAATATTGTCTACAATTACAGTACTATATTAGAATCTTAAGAACAATCGAATTTGGCACTCTAAAATTTATGAAAAAATATGGATAAAAAATTGAGTTATTTTCTTGTAACACTGAAAACCCAAAAATGGAGTCATACATGATGAAATTTGGCGTGGCAAAGCACATATGTCAAGAGCGAATAATATGTGAGTAATAATTGTTGGGCTGTTTTTAATTGAAAATGTGTCTCGGTGGAACAAAATCAACTCATCAAACTGCACCAAAAAAATATGTCAATATGTCTGTCTGAATTTACGCTATATACATTCTACATCAGATCTCCCCTCCATTCAATGGAGGGTTGAGGATCGAGACAAAAATGGGTCAGTTTAATTCCTTGTTTACATAGAAATTAGATATACTATAGTCTTTGCCACCTAAAATCTAGTGCTTTCTCATTGTTTATCAAGAAATATCAATATATATGATTATGTAATGATGACGTTATTTTTTACTCACATATAAAAAAATAAAAAATAAAAGTACGATGTGTAAAACTTCACACACTAATACTTGTCATTTTCCTTTATGCTTCGTTCGGTAGAAAAGAAAAAAATTGAATGAAAGGGAGAGAATAAGGGATGGATGAGATATCTCTAGAGAAGAAATTTTGTCTTTCCTTATTTTTATTTGATTGGATTAAAAATAATAATAATAACCTCAAAATTTACTATGTTGTTAGGAAAGAATGAAAGAGAGTTTTAAATAGTTTTACCATTGTATCCAGTAATATCTATAATTTATAGAATATAGTATTCTAATTTAAAATTTGTATAATTTAAGATAATATTTAATTAAAACTTGTATAATAGTCCACTTGTCTTCTTCTTTTTTGTTAAAAGTAGTCCACTTGTCTTCCCTCCTCTCTTCTGTTCATTTTTTAATCAATGAAAATTTGTATAAAAAATAATATGATTCATCATTCCTATTATTCTTTCTTTTTTTATATTATCTCTACCGAACAAAGAAAATTTGTTTATTCCATCTTATTTTCTCTTTACACATCTTTCTTCATTCCTACGGAATAAAGTATTAGATATATATATATATATCAGCCTTTTCAAAAGAGTATATATCACAATCACTCTATTTTATATTGTAGATGTCCTTGCACTTCATACCATGTGACACCCTTATGCTCACATTAAAGGATGTAATGGGTAATTTATAATATTTGTTGCCCAGCAAAAGAAATAACGTTAATGTTATGTTCCGAACAAAGCATTAGTCTTTGTTACCCAGCAAAAGAAATAACACTAATGTTATGTTGGCATCGAATTGACGGTATAGATTTGAAATCGAAAAAATTTTAATATAAATTTTGAACTAAATTTCTTTCTATCTTAAATTAAAAACACCGATTCACGAAAACACAACATAAATATTTGTATCTACATTGTAACCTTACCACAGTTTATATCTGAACTAATAACAGCAAATATGGATTGCTTAATTGCCTCATCAAATTATAAATACTTGTATCTACATTGTAACCTTACCAGTAGCACAGTATATATCTGAATTAATAACACCAAATGTGGATTGCTTAATTGCCTCATCAAATTAAGTGCTCTCATCAACCTCGTCATGGTCTTTATTATAACCATACAAAGTGGTTGATCGTTTCTTCAATTCAGTCACAATTCTTTCATTGTTAGGTTATGATATGACATTAATTGTGTTCATGATTTTTTGTTGCATTTCCAGCAAACTTGTTTCATAGTAGTACATTCGACAGCTCTGTAGTCAAAGCAATTGTTCTTCTTTGGCATCTAGTTGTTTTAGGGTAAAAAATAGATCTTCCAAATCAAATTCAAATTACTCATAACCACTGTGATGAAATTGCCAATTCTATGGTATTTATTTTAAACATTTTGGTAGACAAAAAAGGGAATTTCTCATTTTGCATTTCCATGTTAATTTAAGAATAAGAAAAAAAAAATCGATAATTAGGTATCTGCGGATTTTGCCCCAACTAATTCACGGGATCTGTGCAAGACGCACCCTCCTCACACGAATCGAATAAAAATTCAGACTATTTCATGTGGTACTAGATTCAAAAAATATTCAACTAGACCAATCACTTAGGATTTTAGGATTTTTACTGAAAATTTTATTTTTTCTTTTATAAGAGGATCGTTGTGACCGTTAAAGCATCCTATAATCCACTATGGGACAAAGTTAGTCTTCCTTTTCATATGCACCTAACAAACATAGCGGCCATTATATTCAATTTTCTTATTTCCTTCATCATTTTTGGCTCTTCAAAGTCAAGATTATGTTTTTGGGTGCATTAAACTTCCAGCGAAGAATGTAACATTCGAAATGAGAATTTTGTGTGGTTCATGTTATTTTCTTAGAGTTCATGAGGGGGTAATTTTTGGAAGATTGGTAAATGTTTGAATTGATAAGTACAAGTAACATATACTGTATGTATTTTTAATGTAGTAGTGTTGACTGTGTTGCTCGAAAGATAAAAAAAAGTCCGGTCTAGAGTGTTCCACCTTAGTAATCTTAGGTTCGATTTTCTCCTCCCAAATTAATTATTAATAATTAATAATTAACTCATGCCTCACCCAAAGGCTGATGGACACAAAGTGAGTGCCCCCACCTTGTCAGCTCAACATAAATTCATCTCAAGTAGCGGGGCTCTTTTAGAAATCATATTATTTTTCAATGAAAATTAATAGGAGTATTTTTACCCCAAAAAAAAAAAACATATCTCTAACCGAAGCCTCTCACCCTTTGGTTAGTGGGACCCATGCGATCCCATAATCATAAAATCAAAGGTTATAGAGTCTTTTGTAATTCTGTTAGGCTTTTTATTCCTGGATAGTAAAGTCTTATCTCTATTAAAATAATTACTCATTTTGTGATTGGTCGGATCATATAAACCCACACCACGTAATAATTTCTTTAGTAAATTCAATTGCTTTCGGCTTGCACTGTCTGGCATTGACCTGCAAAGGCATGACACGTATTGGTGTGAGAGGCACTTTTTATATTCACAAAGTTGGAGCAAATCAAGTGATTCATGAAGCAAGCTGCAGTGAGAAAACTGATGCTTCTATGGACAGAATCATGTTGGATATTGGCTTGGTTGGCCCCCAAACCACCTTAAGAGGGACTTCACATATATCTATGTTTTTCAGTTTATGCCCCCACCAATAACTATCCCAACTTCCTTTTATTTAAAGCATTTTGAGAAATATTGACTTTGCACCACTTTTGCTTCACATCCTCAAAACAAAATAATCAATTTTCTTTTTGGATTCAGAATTGTTCATGTCAATAGATTAGATTTTTTTTTTTTTTTTTTTTTTAGACAAATAACTCTTACGATACTTTTGAAGAAATTCGAACCTACTATCTTTAATTTTAAAATGAGTGAAAATATTATTAAGCCACAGACTTTGACCGTTCATGTGAGATGCATTCCCGCTTGACAAATTTTGAAGATGATCACATGTCTATGGGCTTTAAAGGCTAAAAATATATTGCAAAATGGATTCTTGCGTTGAATCTGGGCCGACTCTCCATGATCATGGGCTATCTTGGGCCTAGGCATTCTCTTGGACCTTAGCCACGCCCACAATTTGAGATACGTACCAAACTTAGTAGGAAGCAAAAAATTGAATGTAACAACTCCTATATTTTAATATTCAATTGCTATTGTCTGTTCTAAAATTACTTCTAACATTTCACTAGGTACTAGTCCGAATGGTATAATTTTTTTTTTTTTTTAATGGAGAGTTTGAGTATGCTAGAGGCATATTGTGGATAGATGCGCGTGTTTGTTTTAATATCCAACGAAAAATGATGTTGAAATTGAATAGTCAGATCCAATTATATAACCGAATCCACTAAAATAAGTATGTAGTAGAATCCAATTTTAATAGAATCCAATTTAAGACATCCGATGATAATAATTAAGTAGTTGAGACACATGTTTAATTATTTTTGACTCAATTTAATGTGATTAAGCCTATCATAAAGATTTTCTCACCCAAAAGCACAACATTTTCATTGCACCCAAACAATCATAATAATTTACAAGTCAATGTTACATCAAAGGAAAACATAATGCCACTTTGGCTTATTGATTATCACCCAAATAGCAAACACTACTAGCAATATATATTGTTAATATTTCCATATGAACACACTCAAATCTTTCTTAACAAATCCAAATGGTCTGATCAAGTTCTCCATCCCAGCTCAAGCAACTTGTTCTCAGCATTCCCCTTAGGTTGACCCAGCGCAGAGCTGCAATTTCTTCTACCATGATCAAGTCTAAAACTCCGACGAAGATTAGCTTGATGGAAGCTATTATTTTTCTTGTTAATGGCAGCAACATGAGGACTAGTCCCGGATCGAAGACTCTTTGCCCAATCGAACCTCTTGGCATTGGAACCTACCATTGTTGTACCTTGAACATTTTGTGATCTTGAAGTCTGAGGACGACCACTTTCGCGCCCATCTTTCTTGATCTCTTTGATTTCAATTTTGGTTCCTCCTTCCATTCTAATGCTGATGTTCACCTCAGAAAGGGTTTTGTTCTTTGCGCCTTGTTGGTTTCTTTCCTTTCTGTGCTGATAGAGCCGGTGCAATCTCAGCGCGAGATGGTATATGCCATCTTTGATCTCTTCCTCCAAATCTCTCTCCACGTCCATTTCAAGCTCGCCGCGAATCTTCAACTCTTCAGAGGACATGGCAATGTTTTGGCCTTGAGGATCCAAATGAACACTATCACTATGATCAATCTGTTTCAATATGTATATATACCACTATTAGTTCAACATTAATCATATAGTCAATGAATTAAGCGAGAAAAAGAAACACATATATTGTGATCACCCTCTTATCAAACCATCCAATGTTGCTAGAGTTTGGACTTTGAGACTTTACAACAGATAAATCTGCAAAAAACCGAAAAAGGATATAATCATTGAAGGTTGATGAGAAGAGTGTGTGTGTGTGTGTGTGTGTGTGTGTGTGTGTGTGTGTGTGTGTTTTGTTAGAATTTGGACCTTGAGACTTCAAAACATGTAAATTTGCAAAAACCCAAAAAGGATATAACCATTGCAGCTTGATGATTGTGTGTGTGTATGTGTGTGTGAAGGACAGATGAAGAAATTAATGAACCTAGAAAATCTATTTTGGAGTGAATGTCTTGATGCTTCATCTTGCAAGATATGCTTTTTGTTGTCTTGATTTTGTGCCATTTCACCAACATTTTTAAACCCTAAAGATAATGACTCAGACACTTGGGTTTGGAACCTGTGATAGAGCTGGACTGAAGAGGACATAAGACGGAATGTTTAGAAAAAGAATGACCGTTAAAGTCGTTATTTTATTTCTCTTATTCAAATTTAGGCGCCAAATGTGTGTACATGGGAAGTGTGGTTAGTGTAAAATATGTGGAGTTCAGTGAGAGTGAAAATTCCTTGAGTTATTGAGGTTGTACTTTACTTGGAAGGCATAATGGGTCTTGGTTGCCCTTAAAGCACAATCAATATAGGGTACACACCCTACATGTGTTTGATGTGTGTGTATATGGTCTATTTATTACTGATCTTTCGTAGTAAAGATTGCTTGAAGGTTACCTAAATTATTTTGTGCATGCTATCTTCAGAGGTACGTAGGACCAAATTAACTTAATTGGCTAATTAATTAGTTGGGTTGATCTGACATTATTTTAGGTCTCTTTTCATTATAGGTTGATACTTTGAAGATCTTAAACTCTTATGTGTTATTCATTCATGTTCACTTATATCATCACTTAATGGTTGAATGGACCAATAACATATGAATATGTCATTTTTAATTATCAAATTAGAGATAATGGTTTAGGTACTTTCACTTACTTACCATCTCTATTTGATAATTATATTAAATAAAACATGTCTATTTATTTTAATGATGTATATCATAATTAGTGAGGATTTAAGTATTGTCCATCAAATAATATCCTTAATTATGATCTCGAATTTTTGGTGATGGTCAAATAAATTCCTTCAACTCCTATAGGAAGAATTTGTTGTAATGATATAATTTTTAAGTATAATATGCATGTGTAAATTTATTTATTTGCTTGGAAATTATCCGGTGACCTAATTAATAAAGCGCCTAGCTCATCAAGCACGTGTATCTGCCTTCGAGTTCACTTGAATGTATAAATTGTATGTTTTAATTTGTAGGTGTCAATGTGTCATAGAATTGAAAACAATTCATTCAACAGCGTGTCTTGTCAAGCAATCCAGAGCTATTTAGATGTGAAAGCCCAACCCAAAAATATTTTTGGCAGCCCAAAATCGTTAATCTCATGCAAACCTGTTTGATTTGTTCAGACCCAATAATCATCTAGGCCATCTCTAGATGAAATTACGGGCCATGTTTGAGAAGTGTTATAATATTGTTTTTCTGATATTGATATTCAAATTTCAGTCCATATTATGTTTGGAAATGTTGATATTGATTTTGAATAATTCATAACACATTAGAATTTTCGGCCAAAACCCATATTACCAAATTGGTGATATTGTGTGTTTTGATACTGTAATGTTATCAATCATTATTCCGATTTTTATCCAAAACACTCCTACAACAAAACGGTTGTTTTGTTATTGACAAAAAACATAAGGCCTAAAACACATCGCATGTCAAACGAACCTTACATTTTTCTACGATGCAATTTCATCACATTTACTTTGAATCTTGGTTCGCAGTGTAACGGATTCGGGTGAATATCGGTATATATCGATTGAACCGATTAGTTCATGGAGGTGTGTAACAATATCAAACTCTTAAAAAAAAAAAGATACGAATCGATCAATATGCTACCAATACAACGAATCATGAATTAAACAGTGAATCTCACTTTTATAACCGAGATTTCACCAAATTATATTTATCAAGAAAAGTGATGAAATTCATAATCAAGTTCAAATTACAAGACGACGTCATTTCAATAAATGAACTAGGTACCTATGCTGATGGAAAGATTTGAGTCATCTACTCTTTGTTTTGAAATGAAAAGAGATAACATTAGTGTACTAATTACTGATTATTTGTGATCGTTGGATGATGATGAAGTCATTAGTAAATTAATTGGCCTAGATTAAAAGTAATCACTAACGGTAGTAGTTAGGATCGTTAATGGATCTGACCCTCTATAAACTATCAAAGTACGGAAGATTGCTACTACAACAGTACAACAACCTTCAACAGTTCAAAACCAAACCCTCTACCACCACGGTCCACGAAACTACCACATTTATTTATCACGCTCGTATGACAACCGTAACTTTGACTTGTTTGTTTTAGCGTAAGACATATATATATAGTTTTTTGATGTTTAGTTGTCAAAAAAACATTTTAAAATATATATATTAAACTTTAATAAAAATAACTTATTTATTAATTTTTAACAAGTTCCACCTAATAATAAACTTGACCTCAACATCAATCTAAACATTTGCTAAATACCGAAATATAAAAATAAAATATAAATTTTATTTGGAAAAATATATATTTTTTGAAAAAAATATTTTACTTTGAACCAAGCGCGAACACACTAAAACTGGACTCGGCGAGCTATTTGTTTTGTATTTTTCATTTGTCCACAAAAAACAAAATTGACTCATTTAATTGTTGTAATATTTTCTACAGTATTTTTAAAATTTTGATTAAAAAAAATCCCCAATTTAAAAAAGAAAACAAACTGTGGTAACCATCTTTTCATATGCCATGGCCTACTTCCATAAGAAATAATCTATAGAGATACAAACTCTCTTTAAAAAGCGACATAATCGATTCATGCCTTAATTCTGCATGAACTTTACAAAGAATCAAGTTTACTTTGCATTATTCTTGTTTTTATAAGATAAATATTCATATTATCATGTAATGATTACATCTTAGCCATTGTTCCTGCATTTTGTACTTTAAAAATAAATTGATAATTTGTTCAAAGTAAACTAATTAATTGCATAAAACTTTCATTGATATTTTTATTTATTTACTTATTTACTTTTTTGTCCCTTGGCGAGAAACTTACCTATCCATACCATAATGATTCTCACCCCACCCAAACGCAATATTGTTTAATTTTTCACTCTCCGAACTAGAGACTTCCGAAAAAAAATGCGCTCTAAAAGGATGTTGAACCTTATATAAAACACTTCCCCTTTCTCTTCCCCAAACGATGTAGAATCCATGTCTTAATTTTGGGTGAAATTCACAAAGAATTAAGTTTACTTTGCATTATTCTTGATCTTACAAGATAAATATATATTATGGTGTAATGATTACATCTTAGCCATTGTTGTTGCATTTTGTACTTTAAAAATAAATTGATAATTTGTTTAATTACATAAAACCTTCATTGATATTTTTATTTATTTATTTATTTACTTTTTTTGTCCCTCGGCAAGAAACTCACCTACCTATACTGTAATAATTCTCACCCTACCCAAACACAATATTGTTTAGTTTTTGACTCTCCGGACTAAAGACTTCTCAAGAGAATGCGTTTGAAAAGGGTGTTGAACCTTACAGATAATACTTTCCCTTCCCCCAACGATGTAGGATCATGACACCCTATAACTTGCCAGTGTGGTAGCTTTTCCAGTGTTTCGCATCTCGCCCATGGAGGTCGTCATACATACGCCCCCTAAAAATTTGAAAGTTAATTAATCTATAATAAAATTACACATTAACCCCTATAATTAATGTGCAATTTATTTTTATATATAATTCAGTAGAGTTTTATGCAATTATTTCTCAAGGGTAAAGAAGAATTTTCAAGAAGTCGCTTAAAAAAAATAATAATTAGTGCACATTTTTTTGTAATTCATTGGTTTACCCAATTAACCCTTAAAAAAAGGTTAGGGCAAGTACAATTTAGAAGAAGAAGTATTAGATGCAAATTACAAAAGTATTAAACTTTGAAGTAACGGAGGATGTCAAGTCACAAGTCCACAACACTCACTCTAACATGTGAATTACGATTTGTCTTGGGCAAGCAACACCAAAAATTGTATTAAAAAACAAGACATAATTTTTTCAATAAAATTAGTCATTTGTTGTAATAGAAAGTAATTAAATTTCTTAATTTTTCAATTAAATTCCACTTTTAATAAATACTCCCAATTAAGTTTATCACTATATCAATAATGATATTTAGTTAACATTGTGCATTCTTTAAATACTTTTTTCTATTAAGTTACTAGTTATACTTACAACCTTTACCTCTAAAATTTTAATTCACAATATATATAAAAAAAAAAAAAAGCACATAGCCACCTAATTAGTAATTTTTAAAAACATGTAATATTTTAATTGAATTTCAATTAAGTTTATTTTTTAAATGGGATGAAATTAGGTTTTGTGGATTGTGTTGGGCTAGAATTTATAAGCACGTGAATGATGGTTACATAACTCTAAGTGGGGCTTTTGCATGTTGACTAATATACATATCATGGACCGAGAAAAAAAAAAAACAAAGGTTGACTTTGAGTTATTTAATAAATACATATAAAAAAATTGTAGGAACTAATTTTATTTCTTTAATAAATAAATATAAATTATACAAACCTTTTATAAAGTTTGGGCAAATTATACATCGCTCAACATTTATTATTTTGATCTTTCCTAAACTCCGGTTTACTTTGACCTTCCCCATATGCTATGAATGTTATTAAACAAGTCAAGTCTCAAGCAAAATCAAAATAATAAGGGTGTGCTTAGTTTAAGACAATTATCTGAAATTAAACATTTTTATAACTTAGTTTCAGCAAACTGAATCAAGTACATTGTTTTCAGAAAATTGAATTAAGTAAAATTTTTGTACAATAATAATATTTCATTAGTATATATATCAAAATGACAAAAACTATGGGGGTATAATAGTGAAAAATAAAATTCAGAGGCCTGATTCGCCTGAAGGAGACTTGTGTATAATTTATTTAATAATGAAATTTTTTAATAATTTTAGAGGAGCAATAGTAATATTTCATAAGTATATATCAAAATAACAAAAATTATAAAATATAATAATGAAAAATAATAATTTTTTTTTTTTTTTTTTTTTAACCTGGCAAACAAGCCAACAAAAGCAGCACAACATAAACTAGAACAATCCTTAGCTACTAAAAAACTAATATGAACAGGGATGTGGACAAAAGCAACATCCTGCAACAGAT